TAAAGCCCACACGAAAACCAGATTTCCATTACTAAACTCAATTGACTATAAAACAGAACTGTAGACTGAAAACAAAGAAGCAATTAGGGAAGAAAACACAAAGGCAATTCCTGTAGTAAACAGAAAAGAAAAATATAGATGGATGACAGAAGGGACACTTAAAATTGTTAAAGACTGGTGAGAAACAACAATAAAGAGTGACTAGAGAAGGGTTAGAATCCTGAATAAAGCTTTTCAGCAACTGTCAGGTAGAGACAAAGAGAACTATTATAATGGCCAGTGCAAATGGAAGACAACAACAAAAGAAGAAAAACTTGCAGTTCTAGAAAGTGTAAAACTTCCAAGCATGCTGATTTAAAGTAAGCAAAACATGAGAAATGTGTTGATTATAATCTGAGTCATAGAGGGAAAATGATAGACAGCAACATATCATGGAAGAGCACAACTGTATCTCAGGGGGAAGGATGGAAAACTAGGAGAAAATGAGAAATCAGAAAGTAATAAAGGCAAAGAAGAAGCAAAAAAGCAAAGTGTGCTGCTTATATACTGTCCCATAGTGCTTAAAGCACTCTCGGGGTGGTTTACAAGTTAATTATGCAGGTTACAGATTGCTCCCCCCAGCAAGCTGGGTACTCATTTTACTGACCTTGGAAGGATAGAAGGCTGAGTCAACTACCTGGGACTGAACCCCAGGTTGTAAGCACAGTTTTGGCTGCAGTACAGGAGTTTAACCACTGCGCCACAAAGCTTGTGGAAAAAAGATGAAAGAGGAGAAAAGATGTAAGAGAGTGACTATAAACAGAGGATTAGAAGTGATTGTGAGACAGAATGTGGAGTGAAACAACTTAGAATGTGAGAATATGGGCAATTTTGGATGGCTAAAAATGTTGTGTGTTTTGTGTGGGATGAGGAATAAAACTAAACAGTTGCACAGCAGGGTAGACATTTACATCTGCCAAAGGAAGTAAATTATGCAGGCAGCCATATGTCAGATTTCACTGGTGTTCAGAACACTGTCAAGCATATTGAGCAATGACAGTATATATACCATGGCATGTGAGATAACAAACTTTATATCATGTGTCCACTCCGCGTATGGTTTACCTAAAACTATACTTTTGAAATTGTGGCGCAATGACTTGAAACTGGTGACCCACTAATTCACACATTCAAGTACGCTGTGTATTTTCTTGCCCACAATTTCTCCCCATTTCTCCTAAGTATGAGGTACAATACTCAATTGAGTACTTTAATCCAAAGAGACTCCCCACCAAGCTTAATCCTAAACTGGTAGGCAAGACAAAATGTACTTTGGCCATGCAAAAAAAAAATCTATAAGACTTTTGTGTTAGCTCTATGCTCCAATTATTGCTCTGTAATGAAGTGTGAATTGGCATGTGGCTTTTCAGAGGCTTTTGTTCTAAATCTAGTAAAAACCTTTTTTTAAAAAATCTTACAGCACTGGGGATCAATTTTACACTTCCACCATCTTCTCTGTCATTCAGAGAACACTGAAAAGCTATTAACATCAGATGCCAGGGTCAACCAAAGGGGGAGTGGTTGGGAAACTCTACTGAATAACACTTTCTCATTATTCAGTTACAATTCATGCCCTCACTAGAACCTGTTATTTCAATTTCTTGTGAGAAAGGAATTGTGCGTGTGTACGCACACACACACACGCAAGACAACATTTTGTCTACTGTACATACCAATGTCTAAAACAATTTGAATCATACTGAGGAAAATATTGTGTCTATTGTGTAAATAGACAAACCGCTCACTTTTCCCAGTATTCTTTCAAACTGTTTTAGCAGTCAGTAAGTATATATAACCTATTTTTTTTAAAAAAAACATTATTTTTGGTCACAAGGTTCATTGTCTTCCTTGTGACATACTGGTACTGCCCCCCTCTCTGCAACTTTAATTTTGAATAGTACTTGGCAGGAAAGAAAGGGCTCCTTGGTTTCCTTTCATTCTAGAGATAAAAAATATTGGACGGCTTTGGAATCTCACACAAATGTACCTCATTTTATCAGGACAGCATTTTCGAATTGCAAATCCATATATGATCTACCTGCTGGGGCAGTAGGGTAATATTTACAACTGTAACATCTTTTGGGTATTCATAGATGTGCCACTGGCCTTGGCAACCTCTCTTGCTTTATAAGCACTATGAGGATTTGAAACCAACAACCATTGTTTATAATTGTTCATTAGAAAGCAACATGTCTGATAATGAGAATGCAGTAGAACTGGACCGTGCAGCATAGATTGAATAACCAATTAATATCTGCCTGAGCTTCAATACCAAAAACCTCTTTAGACCTAAACCAAAATTTGGTATTTTAAAAAAGAAAAACCTTGATATTCTAGACATAGCGTACATCATTTTGTTTATTTACAAGAAAGTGACCACTTCTGCTAAATTCTGGCATTGCAATAAAGTCAGTGCTTCTATATCATACAGATGAGTCCAGTGGTGGCCCCTTCTTGGTTGGACACACTACAGCAAATTAACTTTGCAGTGCAAAAAAATCCTTTATATTTGTAAACATGTCCGTAGTTTTTCATTATATCCCTGACATTTGGAACTTAATTAGAGGTCAGAATGATTGGACTTCATGAACTCCTACTCCTGACTTACAATACAAGGGTAGAAAGATAGCTATATACAATTCAAAGGTAGGGGTGAATGATACCTTTATTAGACCACTAAAACTATACACAATTCAAAGGTAGGGGTGAATGATGCCTTTATTAGACCACTAATAAAATTAAGAGACAGAAGATAGCTTTCAACCTGTATAGGTCAGAGAACAGAAGATAGCTTTCAACCTGTATAGGTCTTCGCCAGTCTGGGCATCACAGTGCTTTGGATAGTACAGAAAAACACATAAAAGCTTCATAAATCATGGCCAAATTTTGGGCTGATTTTTTTTTGGAGCTTTTATGTTTTTTCAGACCATATAGATCACTGTGGTGCCTAGCCTTGTGAAGACTGGTTAGCTTCTTTTTTATATATAATTTTTAGTGGTCTACTAAAGGTATCACCCATCCTTTGGATGGTGTGCAGAGAACACTTTTCTCTCTCTCTCTTTTTGCCACACACCATCCATTGTTCAATGGTTAGAGTATCTCAGTGCTTCAGCTGCATGTGAACATATTCTAGTGATGCCAGAGTGAAATTTCTTTCAAACATGTGGCAAGTTTATATGAATGCATATGCTTAGGTCATGATTACATTTACTTCCAATTACCCCCCTTCCTTTCTTTTGGCTGGAATTAATAAAAAAATTTTAAAGTTAAAAAAATCAAGAAAGCCTAAACAAAATAATGAATTTAGCAATTCTTCATGGACCTACTTTTCACTAGCTCTTAAAGATGTACAATGGCCAGGCCAGTCACTTTCTTAGGGCAAAAATGACAACAGAGAGGTTACCACCACAGAAAACTTCTAGCTTTTTAAAACAGGGCATCACTTCAAAACCTCAGGACTTAGGGTCACCTGACAGCCTAGGATCTCCAGCTTAGCTAGTTTTCTTGCCTTCTCTCAATAAATAATTCTTCTATACTATACCTGCTACAGCTTAGGTAAACAGGGGCAATTGAATAAATACATAAATCTGGGCCTAGAGCTGAGAGCATTTGTCTCTTTGTTAAAAGTCTTAGATTTATCTCTTAGCACAAACAGAAAAACAGAAACATGCACGCACAAACACACTAACAGAGAAGAGACTGCAAAAAGTCTATTTGAGTTTGAATACACTACAGTTAAAAAAAATCCCAGAGAACTACAGCAGAAGCAACTCATAGCAGCCCTAGGGTTTTAAATATTTCAGGTGCTGAAAAGCCACAGAGTTTTCAAAATAGTAACTTTAATTGGTGTTCCATTTGACACTACTGCTTGTAACAGGATTACTCTTACTTACTGATCGACAAGGTACCCCCTTGCTGACTGACAGGTGCTAGGAAATCTAATGATGCTTTTTGGAATTTTTGAACCATCAGATGTCAACAGCTAAGGTCTTCACAGCTACAGCAGCTAGAATAACAATACAGTTTGAGGGGCAAAATAATCAGTCAAGCGTCTCAGTTTTTCAGGCTATAAGGAAGACACTGACATTCATTTCTTGACTCCACAAATTATGGGGTATGATTATTTGCTTCACAAAAAATATACATGTAAAATCATACAGCCAATACAGTATCTCCATTTGGAATTCCTTGGAGTATTTAGGGGCGACAGAAGTGGCTAATGAGTCTTACAGAGGGACAAATAATTGAGCTGGTTTTCCACTTCCAAAGAATTTTTCATAGGAGGATTTTAAAGTGGTCTCACTTGAGGGCATATGCTCTGTGATGCCATGAACTGCAACATGAACCAGATTACAGCCTTTACGTCAGATGTTGCAATAGAAATAAAGTATTTGAAATACAATATCAGGCTCACAAACACATTTTTCCAGTGATGACTACAGCTTGTTGATTTTAAATAAGTCATCACAGCTACAAATGTCATATACTTGTATATACAGATTCAAAACTGGGTCATCTCACACATTTCAGATGCCAAACAGCAAAAACAATCAAAGGATGAATGGATAGACAGACAGACAGAAGCCAGATTCTGAGCTTTTGCAACTAAGATTTATTCAGATTGGTTCTCATGAATTCCTATTTAAACATACAATAATTCATTTCCCCTCAGATTGGGATTTCTCCAGATGAACAAAGTTTAATATTGTTTCTTTATAGCATACATGGTTGTGTCGATTCTCTTTCCTTACCTCTCTCCTGATTTCTATCTGACTGTTGAAAGAATAATTTTCATGTCGCTAATTTTGAATGTTTTCAATGGAACTGTTCACCCACAGATGATACAGAACTTTGTGTGTGTGTGTGTGTGTGTGTGTGTTTGTCAACACAGTTTCAGCAGATACACATACTGTTCTGGCAGTAGCATCTAGCCACAGATCAGATCATTATGAAAAGGCAGCTGACTATCTAAGCACTGACCCTACCAATCTGGAAGTGGCCACCATCTCAGTCAGGAACAGAGGAGTCAAGCAAAATTGTCCACTTGCTCCTGGAAAATTAACAGGATAATTCAGAAAAAAAGAGAAATTCTACACGGTTTTGTGCATACGTCAATGTTGAGCAGTATAGAATGAGAAAGGAAAAGTTAGACTGCTGTTAATTACACGATTGACTATGGATTCTTTTCTTTAAAATCAGCATAAACAAACTTTCCTACACTGTCATCTCATTTAAATTTCCCTATCCAGTATATGAAACTCAGAAGGATTTGTTTGACATGATCAATGTTCCCACTTTAATTATCTTACAGCAGCAGTGTCAAAGCATGATAGTGATGCCATCAATCTTAAATCACATTTTATTACTATGGGCAAGTGAAGCATGTTGATCTGATTAATGCATTTATAGAAACCTTTCTATCATCGTATAGGTCACACCTACAAAATGTATCTGTTCCAGTTAAAAAGTGCTTCCTTGTTTCATTCAATTGCTATCAAGAGTTCAAAGGAAATTCTAAATTTTTCAGACCATGAGTTCAACTCGGAGCCCATTCTGTGGCTAGCACAGGGCCAAACAACACATTATTTAACTTAAAGCCTGCCAATTACATTGAGTTACATATTTACCCAATCACTTCCCTAATGTGATGAGGCAGCCAGACCATGCCTTCCCAGCCCACCTACCAGACATGTTTGCATCACTCCAAGGCTGTTCTATGATCACACATTGACATCACAGTTTAAGAGTTATACACATGTAAAATCCAATGAATGCAACACAACTAATCCCCCAGATAAATTAAACTCCAACTAATCTCCCCCAATTCAGGGGTTAATTAATCTCCCAGCACCACTAATCTCCCAGGCAAAATTGAGGGATTAATTGCATGCTCTCAGCCTCCATGAGTCAGATTTTATGTGTGTACACACTGTTAAAGGTCTCATATAGAAGAATAATGGCTGCTAACATCTCCCTCTGATAAATACTTAAATTAAGATCTACTGTATGGGTATCATGCACTGGGCCAATTATGCACCACTAGACTGACCAATGTAATTTTCTTGCCTCCCTCATTCTTCTGAAGGAGCAGGGAACAAATTGGTTTCATGTGTAGAGGAACACACACACACACATAAAGCTCTAGGTGAGACATTAGCTTGTGTGTGTGGTAATTAAAGACTTAAGAAATAAGCCACATTCCAAAGGAAGTACATGAACTGAACCACAGTGCATTCGACTGGTTAAGGGGCACCATTTCAGTGGCACAGCATAAATTTTGGATGTGCAGGTTGCCAGCTTGAACTCTTGGCATCTCCAGGGATGGAAGTTGCTTTGTTGATACAAAATGCTCCCTGCTACAAAATGGTACTGTCAACATGTGGTGTGCATGTGTCAGGGACAGGATGATGGGGACAGTGATAAGTCAGGCATAGTATCTCTAAAAGACCACAGGTCACATATCACAATCTAGCTATAGACATATTAGTCTATTGTAGTACAAAAAAAAGTGAAAAGGAAACTAGAAACTAGGAAAAAGAAACCAAACATACAGTTACAAGATGCAGGATACCTGGCTCAGCAATACTACAAGAAAGAAGGATCTTGGAATCATAATAGATGATAATGATGATTATGATGATGACGACAACAACAACAACAACCTTGAACTGCAGGACTAGAAGGGACCCTATGGATCATCAAGTCCAGCCCCTCTCAAGGAGACACAGTGGGAAATCAAACTCCCAACCACTGAGTTATCCAGCGGTTCACAAGCTGAATATAAGCCAACAGTGTGAAGCAGATAAAAAACGGCAAATGCTATTTTAGGCTGCATTAACAGAACTATATTCTCAAAATTCCATGAGGTACTAGTTCCCTTCTATTCGGCATTGATTAAGCCTCATCTTGAGTATTGTGCCCAGTTCTAGACATCACACTTCAAGAAGGATGCTGACAAGGAGGAGGGCAGGAAGGATGATCAGGGGGCTGGAAACCAAGGCTTATGAGGAAAGACTGAACGAACTGGGCATGTTTAGCCTGGAGAAAAGAAGACTGAGGGGAGATATGATAGCACTTTTCAAATACTTGAAAGGCTGTCATACAAAGGAGGGGCAGGATCCATTCTCAAAGATCCCCAAGTGCACGACACACAACAATAGGCTCAAGTTACAGGAAACCAGATTTTGGTTGAATAACAGGAAAAATGTCCTAACTGTTAGAGCAATACAGCAATGGGACCACAATTACCTCAAGAGGTGGTGAGTACTCCAACATTGGAGGCATTAAAGAGAAATTCAGACAACCACCTGGCAGATATCCTTTCATCTGCATTCCTGCATTGAACAGGAGTTTGGACTCAATGGTCTTATAGGCCCCTTCAAACTTCATCATTCTATGATTTCCTTAGAAGTCTCACACATTTCCCCAATAAATCTCAAGAGGTGTGATGCTTCTGTTGTGTTTCTTAGCTTTGCAAATTGTTGTCTCGAACACAGATGCTTGCTATGCCTACAAAGTGGGGATGGTGTTCATTGATTGAAATAAAGTGGAGTCTTGACTTAAGAACGGCTTGAGTTAAGAACATTTTGACTTAAGAACCACTCTCATAGGAAAATATTGACTTGACTTACATACTTAGATTTGAGTTAAGAACTGAAAAAAACCCACGTGGGAGGCAGGGAAAGTGCAAAATGTGAATTTTCAGTTAACTGTTGGCAGTGAAAAGGGTGCCTGTCTGCTTCCTCACTCCTCCCAGCATTTAGAGAGTGGATTGGGAGTCTTCAGACTGCCTGGTACTGTACTGCCTGGACTGTATTTTCCCTGCCTTCCCTGAACCTTTCTTGACCTAGGAAAAAAAGAAACAAAATATCCCCCTCTATTGGTCGGAGGCGGAATAGCAGCTTCCCATTAGTTTCTATGGACGGAAAAGAGCAGATACGGATCAAATGGTTTTCAATGCATTCCTATGGGAAATGCAGATTTGACCTGAGAACTTTTTGACTTGAGAACCGCCTTCCAATACGGATTAAGTTCTCAAGTCAAGACCCCACTGTAAACCTTCAAGGGATTCAAACATACAATGAAGAACATCATTTTTGTCAGAGTATTGACACAGTAAAGCTAGTTTTCCTATTACTGCAGTTCCCAAACTTTTCAGTATCATGCCCCTTTTCCTAAGTTAAAATTTAAGATAAACACACACAAAAATATATTATATTAAAGCAAAATAAGCAAAAATGGTTTTTCTGAAGAAAGTCTAAATGCTAGTATCAATGTCTATTACAGAAATTTAAGCTGATTTTTAAAGAAATCTTCATGAAATATAACAGGCTCGTATTGTTTTATTTACCATTTTTAATACAATACTTGTTTAATTCTTTTTAAATACTTGTATACTTACTGCTTTTAGCTTTAAATATTGCCTTATTAATGATGTAAGCTACCTTGGGTCTTTTTTAAGAAGAAAGGTGGGATTAAAATATTTTAAATCAATAAAAATAAATAATGGCTCCTTGGAATTTCTTCCAGGAGCATACATCATTCAGTTTGGGAACCAGTGTACTGATCTAGATGATCTATAGAATATGAGCATAGAATCTGATCTTTGGCTTCCAGTTATTGATCAACAGCAATAACAAAATGTTCTAATTTTGTCACATATAATTTGTAATCCTCTCTTGGCTGAGAATTCTTTAATTCTATAGCCCTTCTCAATCATTCTGAATTCCAGAATCACCAACACTATTAGAGGGAAAGTGGACATGACACCACTAAAATATCACACATAGAAGCTAATTTCAGGCCCCAAATGAGTCTTCATACCCCAAAATATGTGGTAGTTCAGAAGAAACGCAGATGCTCTAAAAACATGGCTACATCTGCAGGCCAGGCTTCTCTGCTGAAAGCAAGTTTCAAAATCTGGACTGCAAAGGTGTTAGTCCTAGATGTGAAAACCTAGCTCCGTTATTTCATCATTGTTTCGCTCACCGGGCCAATCAAAAGTCTGCAGAGGAGAGGTTGCAGGCTGCTCCCCATGTGAGCAAAAACTCCAGAAAATTCTGGTTCTTGCTCACGTATACAGCACACATCAGTTCAAATGAGTTTCTGCTTGCATGAGGAAAAAAATGGAGGCAGGTAGCCACTACCCTGCAACTGTTTTGATTATCCTGGATTTCAGAATAACTGGGTAGGGTTCAGATATATTCAGCTGCAGCAACTGGATCTTGAATTCTAGTAAAACAAAAAAAAATCCATAATACTGCAAGCTTCAAATCTTCCAGTACACTATAATTCTTCTCATGAATCCTTTGAAGAGATTCTCTTTGAGAGAGATTCTCAGATCTTTTGCTAAGAAGAAAGTGTTTTTTTGTTTTTTCTTGTTTTTGTTTTGTTTTGTTGTTTTGTTGCTTTTTTTTTGTTTTTTCTTCTGTTTTTGTTTTGTTTTGTTGTTTTGTTGCAGATACATTTTACTCTTCAACCATCTTCTGAAATCTATTTTTCTTCAAGACTTCCTGAAGAAAGCAACTCACAAGGTACATTAAAGCTATCGAAAAATCTATTGGGAACCATTTGTATCTTTGTGTCACGATAAACATATTCTTGACAAATGTGTTCTATTTTTAAATGGTGGTTTAACAGGTGTACACTTTCAAGCATCCTTCAGAGTGACTGTAACTATGGTAGGAGTGAATACAATAAAAGCCGGTCTTTTATTTATGGTGCAAAAAATACAGTATTCTTGACAAATGTGTTCTATTTTTAAATGGTAGTTTAACAGGTGTACACTTTCAAGCATCCTTCAGAGTGACTGTAACTATGGTAGGAGCGAATACAATAAAAGCCTGTCTTTTAAGAAACCTGGAAAAGCACACATTGATGTTTTCAGAAATGTTACTTACTTCATTAAGGTCATCTTTTGCATTGTAGTAGACAATATCATTACTCTGCACAAAAGAGAAAGGAGGAAATAGGTTAATCTTAAAAAGTATGACCCAAAATTGGTACTAATTGTAAATATGGTGGTAGGAGTGGTTTGCATTTAATCATATGCCTGTTAATTACAAGCAGTATCAGTGGCCATTCTAGTTTAAAGATGGACCAAAAAATGAGAATTCAACTATGTTTGGTATTAGTTCTCCAGCAGTGACAATAACTATATATTAAACCAGTGGTTCTTAACCTGGGTGATATCGCCCCCCAGGGGGTGATTTTGTTTTTCAGGGGGTCGATGGAACAAAAAGGGGTGATGCGGGGGTGAAGGAACAGAAGGGGGTCAATAGGGGGGCAATGGAGCCACCACACTGCCGCCACCATTGAGGAAGTTATCATTGCCCCCCCCTCACCACGCTACTGGATCCAGAGCAGCTGTTGCTGGCAGCGGATGTGATGCCGCCGCCACCATTGAGGAAGTTATCATCACCCCCTCCCTGCAGCGGCGGTGCAGCGGGGGGCGATGTTAACTTCCTCAATGGCTCAAGGGAGTGTTTCTTTCAAAAAGGTTAAGAACCACTTGTGGTAGAAGGAGCAGACAACAGGACATGCCCAACAGTTTCCATTTTCCCACTGTCAAAGCAATATGTATGTTCCTGATAGGCTATTCCATGATACCTCCCCTCCAGGGTCACAGAAAATAATACATAAAGTTCAACTAAATCAAAGGCTTTTCTGAACTCAGGAAATAATAAATTAGCCAGGTAGGTAGAGGGTGCACTTGTCTTGTTGCCTAGAACACAGTATTTGGTAACTAAACTTGTCTGTTCTTGTCATTCTATACTTTTGATTCTTTGTTTTATAATTGATCTAGGTTTACAGCAGACAAGAGTTATTAAAGTGCTGGGAGAATATGCCAGAGTCAATATGTTTTCAGACAGGTTTTCTATTTTGACTGGAAAATATCTGTTAGAATCAGTAGCACAAGTCCTACTAGAAGGGAAAGAAGTTTTATTCAGTAGTTTTTATCAGATGTATCCTGGCACAAACTTCAGCAGGAATTAGGGCTGCCTCAAGGTGCAAAATCACATTAGGGATACAATGAGAACACAGCATTCAAACATTTAGTCCATATAATTTCTACTGATCTAAATTTATCATAAATACTCAATGTGCAACATCTTAGCTGTAAATATTTGGATAACAGAGGATAACTGGAATGCTTTTACCCATCTCATTGTCTTTAAAAAAGATATTTCATGACTTACATATGGGAAGTACAGCAACTTGAGAGACCTTTATCAGTTATGTATTAATTCTAAAGAAGCAAAACATCACATTTGTTCATTAGTGCTGAATTTGTACCAAATTGAGGGTGGTAAACCTGAACTTACTGTTTCTCAAGACAAGTGAGAAAATTCTTGTCACTGCTAGGAACCCAAGCTAATTGGCTGCACATCGATCACTCTCTACAACTTGGTGGGTTGTTCTCTAAGAAACCATTTACAGCTTAGCATGTGGCTAGCAGGAGAGAATGACAGCAATATAGTTTTAATTTTCTTTTAATCCTGTTATGTTCCGCACCTCTTGCATTGGATTGACAATCTCCCATCAGGTGGCTCAGCCCTAAAGCATTAAGTTGAACATCTGCTGCTGCAGAATTTTTCCATCTTGAAGTAGTCATGGGAAAAGCAAAACAAACAAACAAACAAACAAAAAACTGAAGATGGGAAGGTGGCGGAAGAGACATTTGGTTTCGATGGGAGAGAAGATGGGAAGGTGGTGGAAGAGACATTTGGTTTCGATGGGAGAGTTTCAAGATAGGAATATTTATTTCATCAATTGGTCAAAAGCCTCCGCCTTTATTTTTCCTTTTTTTTACAAAAAACTAGACCAAGCTGCTGCACTCATCTGTCACAATGGGCAAATCAGTTTGTCTTCCTTTCTCCCATGTTAAGATGCCATGAATTTTGGTAGAGTCTGATCACTAAAACAAAACTTTCTTACATCTTTATTCAACAGGGGTAAGAAGTTCCTTTTCATTTCCTTTCTTAGTTACACTTACATCTTGGCCTTGCTCCAGTGCACTCAACACAGTTTGTACAGCTCCTTTCCTCCCTCCTTTATGCTAAGCACAACCTTCTGAGGTAGATTAAGGGTGAGGTGAGAGAAAGTGAATGGTCCAGGGTTACCCACTGAGCTTCATGGCTGAGAAGGGGCTTGAATTTGAATCTCTCAAACCCTAGTCCACCATTGCATTTACTACACTTTATTAGCTTTGGGAAAGTTGTGTGATGATGTAGCATGATTCTCAGTTGCACTGTACAAAGACATACAGGGACCCACACAGACAGAGAGAAAGAGAGAAATGTCCACACTGCAGGGGCTTGCCTTTGTTTAATGTAAAAAGGGGGAAGAGACAAGGAAATTCAAGGAATATTTTGTCATTACATGAAACAGGAAAAATCTTTCTCACCTAAAAACTGGTAATCCAAAAAAAGGTTGCTGAAATATTTATCACACCTTGGTAGAAAATTAAAGTACAGTGAATATAGGGGCAAAGTCATGAGCAGCCAGAATTGAATGCCTCCCCCAGGTATTATGAATTGACACAAGACTGCTCACTCCTTTTCTTTTCTTCTTAGTTGATATATTAAATAGTAGGAAAATATATTTCCCTGCCCTCAGTATTTAAAGCAATACCTTCCATCATTCATATTTGAAAATTTCATTTACTGTAAGTCAAACACAGAAAAGGGAAGTAATATTTTAATGGCACATATGAATGCAATTTCTCCCATATAAAATTAAGACTCATGCTATTATTTTAAAACTCCTCTAGTAGTGTGAGGGAACCTTTGACATCCTAAATAAAATAAATATGTTACTTTAAAAGTATTCCAGTTTAACGTGAAAAATAATATTTATTGGCATTACATTCCAATAACATATTTGACTAAGAGAATGATTGGGTTATTTCTTCTACAGCAAAAAAGCACTCAAAGAAAACACTGAGTTTATGTAAGTGGCTGATAAACAAGCCAACAAAATAAGACAGGTCATTTTAGCAATAGTTGACTATTTTAGCAACAGGCTGGAATTTATTTTAAACCATTGTTCAAGGTTCAAAAAGCTACAAACCTGACAAAGTGAAACAGAATTTATAACTCATCCACAAAAAAAATAGATGGGAGGATAGTTACAGTAATTCATAATTCTCTACAACCAGCTATCCTACTAGTTTTGGTGGGGTTGCCCTTACCTGGTGGTCATCTTTTCTAACACATCCATAATGTGAAACTCTATTATGTCTTAAAACTTGGTTTTAAATTTATCATCTTCAAAGAATTTGGTTAAACAGTAAAGGAGTCATTTGCATGCTCCTTCAGAATATGAACCTCACATATGTTTGTTTATATGACTGACGGTGTGTCCATTCAGCCTAGTATTCTGCTGCTTGATTGGCTGTAGCTCTATACAGCCTCGGTGGTCTTTTACTCCATGCTCTCCTTCTCATGCTTAAACTGGAGTTGTCACAGACTGAACCTAGGACTTTCTGCATGGAAAGCAGGACATCCTGCCATTCAAATATGCCTCTTCTCCACAACATAGAGCACATACAGTATGTAAAACTGCAGTTCTGTCTGTGTCTCAGGTGCATCCAGGGTACCATTGATTGTGTGTGTGTGTGTGTGAGATGGGCACAGGAGCCTGTGTGATTTTCTATCTCAGGTGTCAAAATAATTTGACTGATCTTGGGAACCATGTTATTTCATTGGGGGAGGGAGGATGCCTTTGAGAGAGAAGTGGTACTCCATGACAGGAAGGAAAAAAATGTCTTTGGTTAGCCTGGCTAGACATGAATTATATTTGCCCCAATCCTGTACTGAATGTGCATTTTCTTCCACAGCATCTATACATTTGTCATCCTTTTATAGAGAGACACTCCACATATTCCAGCAGATACAAAAGTTGTCTCATATTTTACTTAGAGCAAAAATTCAAGCCAATTCATGAGCTCTTTCTTAGCTAAAATATTTGAGCAATTCTATATTTAGGCTCCTTTCCTGGAGACATCCAAGACCCAAGCATTGGCATCAGCTCGATTTGATCCTCACTAGATGTTCTAGCCTTCCTAGTATTACGATGACATGTAGTTACCAGAGTGCTGATTGCGATACTGATCACTCCCTGGTGTGTAGTAGAGTAAAACTGTGAACAAAGAGATTGTATCACATGAAAAAGGAAGGAAGACCATGTATTGACATCAGCAAGACTCACAACCAAAGAAAAGTGGAGGAATTTGCCCAAGCGCTTGAGGAAACCCATCCAGGTCTGGCTGATGCAAATGCACCTGGACGATGGGAACATTTCAAGAACGCTGTTTATAACACTGCCTTGTCCACATTTGGGAAGAAGACCAAAACAATGGCCGACTGGTTCAAAACCCATTCAGAGGAGTTAATGCCAGCCATTGAAGATAAGAGGAGAGCTCTAGCAGCATACAAAGCCTGTCCTAGTGAGTACAGCTTGCAGGCTCTTCGAGCTGCTCGTAGCAAAGTCCAACAGGCTGCCAGGAGATGTTCCAATGATTATTGGCTCCAGCTCTGCTCTCAGATACAGTTAGCAGCGGACACAGGTAACATCAAGAGAATGTATGATGGTATCAAGCAGGCTTTCGGTCCAATACAGAAGAAATCTGCTCCCTTGAAATCTGTTACAGGCGTGATCATCCAGGATCGAGCACAACAGATGGAACGCTGGGTGCAGCACTACTCTGAGCTATATTCCAGAGAGAGTGTAGTAACCAAAGATGTATTAAATAACATCGAGTGCCTACTTGTCTTGGAAGAGTTGGACAGTGAACCAAATTTAGCAGAAATAAAAGTAGCCTTGGATTCCCTCGCCTCTGGCAAAGTACTTGGGAAGGATAGCATCCCTATTAAAGTGCTGAAGTGCTGTAAAGAGATCATCACTACTGAGCTGTATGATGCCTTTTGTCTCTGCTGGAGAG